TGAAAACAGGTGTTCTACTGCGCGTCTGCTCGCAGTTCGTACGTTTAAGTCTGCTCGCAGTAAGAGCTTCGCATCGCAATGCTTTTCCTTTTACTCGGTGTCTTAGGTACTTGTAAACATCTCATGGAAGTTGTGTTTGTGTTCCTGCGTCTCTGCAACAGCTAGATCCGCATCAAAAGTGCGCTAACCTGCTGCAGAGTCACGGGTCCTCTCCGGAGTAATGGGAAGAGAGAAACTGGCCATGAATATTCCTGTGCCTAATTGATTTTGTCATGTGCCTAATTGATTTTGTCATGTGCCTGTTTGGTACCTGTCTGTAACATGTATGCCACAAAAATTGAAGTGACAAAGAGCAGAAATACTTACCTGAATTGTGATAATGATTTTGTGGGGAAACGGGAAAAACCTCCAACACCTTAATATCGAGGACTGCAGTTCTGAAGCTGTTTGCTGGCAGTGTGGTTGAGGAGGGGAGTGAGGAGTTGCTGTGTTCTGTATGGATTAGGCTCAGCAGTCACCCATTTTGCAGCAGAGTGTTTATCTTCACATCAGACACCGGTTTCAAGTAGAACACAGGCTAGTCAGTACTGACAGGCGGCTTATGCTGAAGGTGGACTTTGCAGATAGGAGGCAAATGTAAACTAAGAAAATTTGACTGCACAGGGTTGGAATAGAATATTTTTTTTTTTTTCTGGTATAGATGAGCATGCTGCACACTTTCAACATTTGCAGACACTCACTGTGAGTAAACCAGGAGAAAAACATTTAAAATTTATGTATATGGTTTTGTTTTTCAGACCCCATCAGCTGTTCAGAAGATTAAGCAGCTTCTTAAAGATAAGCCTGAGCATGTAAGTATAAAATGTGTGGCATTCACAGAGCATTTCTGGCCAGTTTAAAGGTTTGAAATACGCACTGAGGTGTTTATTATTAGAGTAGGTGGCGTCTTTTTTTTGGAGGGGAATGTGTAAGCTTGTTTATATATTGAGCTTTGTTTCTTTATAAAATGAAATGCAGGAAATAGCTGACTATGACATTTCACTGTATATTTGGTTTTGAGATGGATAAAGTAAAAAAAACCTTTTAGTTTCAACATATTTTTTTTGAGCTGTATTTTAATTCAGCCTTTTATTGTGGCATCATCATGGCTTCTGGTAGTGAAAGAGATCTTAAGTTGCTGATATTAAGAAAGTTGTTATTCATTTAAGTTCTTGTAGGAATTCTCACTGTGAAGTATGTAATAATAAAGTTAGATTCATACCCAGCAGAAAACATCCAGTTCTTAGGAAACTTCCCAGCAGATGTTGGGTTTTTTAAGTAATGAGCTTTTCTGCAAATAACCGATTGAGTTTGTCACCTTTTCTTCTCGGGGAAAAATGCACAGAGTCTTTCTGTGTAACCGTTACAGAGACAAGCATTAGACTTTCCTCTTTACAGCAAGTACTTCCCACAGTTTAACCCCAGCCAGCACCACACAGCCACTCACACACTCTCCCCAGGCAGTGGGGAGGGGGAAAGAATGAAAAAGCCAACGGGGTTGATCCACAGTAGCAAACATCTGATGATTGATTCTACCTTGGCAGGAAAGAAATGTTACCTCTTAATCTACTAAGGAAATTCACTTCTGCTTTGAGTCAGCGGAGAATAATAAATGTCAGCATTTTGTTGTTCTGCATACTTTCTGTCTTGGTGTTCCAGGAACAGCTTTTTAAAAGTCATCAATGTGGTGGTGGGTTTTTTTTCAGGTAGGCGTGAAAGTAGGTGTTCGTACCAGAGGCTGCAATGGACTTTCTTACACGTTAGAATATACAAAATCAAAGGGAGACTCTGATGAAGAAGTAGTTCAAGATGGTGAGTTTTTGTTGGTGTTGTTTGGGGTTTCTTTAGGCATTACTGAACTCTTGTTATGTTCAGCAATGTTAATTCGATGGTGAAGAGATGTAAATATAAGTGGGGTATTACAGTTATTCTCTTACAGAAGCTATGCTGCTAGGCAGAGGCCGTCTTCCAGCTGTTTTCAAAATACATGTGACCAACACATAAATTTTATTCTTTTCAGCAGAGGGTTAGCTGGAACTTCACCAGCAGTTAAACTGAACCAGGGACTAACACCTAATTATGCAGGTGCCTTTTGCTTTCAAATTTAGCTGGCTTCTGGAGCTACCCCTTCTGCTTGACTCAGAGTTGCTGTAGCTTCACAGGGCTGAAAACACATTTTTTGGAAGGTGGCATTTTCTGGTTTGGATCTTAGGGAAGGTAGAAGCAGTTCCTTCACTCAGGTTGGAGACATTAAGTTCCAAAGCCACAGTGTTTCAGATGTGCCTGTGTGCTTTCTGTTTTGGTCACTTCTAGACAGACTGCCAGTGAAGGCGCTGGCTTCTACAATAGCTCTGTGCTCAGAGACCTCATGGCTTTGGATTCCAGCAAAAATTTTCTGGCTTTTGGGTAGTAACTGACTGCATCGGGGATCAGGCCCATAAACTCCTTCACTATGTTTAGCCTTCACTGTTAGTTACTGTCTGTATCAGCGTCTGCTACGATGAAACCGTTTTTGAGCGGTCTCTCTGGGAACACAATGATTTCTTGTTGCTGTTTACTGATACAAGTTCACATTGTTACTATTTGTAGTCTGGCTAAAGCAGTCCACTCACACGTTTGTCTCAGAGCTGCAGCTTAGAAGTCGAGTAACTTCCCAGAGAGGCAGATTCTTAGTGTACTTGAGAAAAGGCAGCTCTTTCTAGTTCCTAGGATGGACTTCTAATTCTTAATCCTTAAAAGTTGTGACATCTTTGAAAGTTCACACATTTTCCTTATTATAGGATTCAGTATTGCTAATAGATAATGTAAACCTAATGTTTTTGGCAGGGCAAAACCCAGTCATTTTGAGAGAGGAGTATTTGAGTTTTGAAGTTTTTTGGGCATCTTGTTGGATGCACAGACTTTTAAGATGGTAGGCGTGTTACTGACTGTGATGCATAGCAATTAAGTACTGAAGCTGAGATTCGTAGTTCCCTGGGCATCCAGTTTCCAAATCCCCCATCAAAAAATACATGCATTCATGTGCACATGCTAATAGTGGTCCTCAACTGGTGCTAGACTTTTACAGGTGGCCTAAAAAGAGCAATGAAAATGCCTCACATTAGGCCAGGGAAACCAAGCTACACTGGTTGTCTTCATATTTAGCTTCCATTTTTTTTCGTCACTGGTCAGAAGAGAATTTCAAAGTGAGTGATGGCTTTGCTGTGTGTATATATATTTTAATTATTTTATTTTATTTGCTGTCTTCAAGGAGTTAGAGTGTTTATTGAGAAGAAGGCACAGCTGACACTTCTAGGAACTGAAATGGACTATGTAGAAGACAAACTGTCCAGTGAATTTGTGTTCAATAACCCAAACATCAAAGGAACATGCGGCTGTGGAGAAAGCTTTAACATCTGAAATCTCAGGACTACTTCTTTGACCTTGAACACCCCGAAACACTTACTATTACAGCTCTCAGAAGCAAATACTTTTTCATCAAGTTCATAGGCTGTGTGAAGTGTGGCTGCGATAGAGAAAAATAAATAATTTTGAAAATGTGAATTTTGTGTTAAGTTCCACTACTTATGTAGTTAATGCTGTAATTTGTGATCAGTTTGGATCCAGAAGGTAAGAACAGTAAGTGCTGTATTAACATCTCTGATATCTGTACTCTCCCATGCCAAGGAAATAAAATCTCACTGTTCTTCACTTTTGTCATTTTCTTTGTCTTCTTTACTCTTTCCACATCCAAAACCCATTTGAAAGGACATATTGCTTCTGTGTTCTGCTTTGATTTTGGAGGAAAAAAAAAAAAAAAAAAAACACACCACAACCCCCGATGTTTTTTTTAATACAGGTTTATAAACATAGTCCAAAGAGAAGTTCATGTATTACTATAGTGGTAGGCTACCATAGCACTGCTTGCAGAACTACTTCAAAATGGGATAGCCTGATTTTAATTCCATCCCTTTTCTTGTTTTGAAGGCCCAGTCTCTGTTGTACTTAGAAAGTTATTTACAAGAAAAAGAGAGATATCCAGGCACTGGAGCACTAGAGCAGGGTACACACAGGCCTTGCTTCTCACGTTTCTCATGTTTATCTTTCTTGACTTAAAATGCAACACTGGTGGAACTGCCTCCAGATTCTGATTCCCCTGTTTCACAGAATATGCTGTCTCTGCACCAAAAGCTATGAGCATTTTTCTTGACAGAGAAGTCTTGGACTTTTCCCAATACTTGGGGTTTGTTTGTTTTTTGGTTTTTTGGGGTTTTTTTTTTGTTTGGTTGTTTTTTGGTTGGTTGGTTGGTTTTTTTTTGTTTTGTTTTTCAGCAATTATAATTTTAAAGCTCCTAGTATTTAATAATTGTTTTAAATTAATCTAGGCTGCAAGTGAAGCAGTGTTTTTAGAAGTTCATTTTTTCTTTGGATTTTAAACTTGGACTTTGATTTAATCAGAATTTTTTTGTTGCAATCCAGTGTTTTCCAAGCTCATGAATTCTTCAGCACTTCCATCCTAGTGCTCAGGCAGAAGCGTAACTCACTCTCCAGGCTTTCCCAAAAGTTGGTATGAGAGAAATACTGCTCTCCCTGTTTCCCTGGCTGCCCAAAGATGACACTGTGCAGTTCAGCAGCTCCCCTGTGCAGAAGAGAAGCTGTATGCCTGGGCAGCAGATCAGAACACCTGGTGCAAAGGGTGCACGTAAGAAGTCGGGGACAACAGGGATCTCCCAGTCAAGGCGAAGAAGGGGTTGAGATGGGAGTGAACTGAGAACACCAAGGCTGCACATTGGAAATCCAGAGGTCACAGTGATCTGGACAGTTGTATCCATGTGCCTGTCAACAACTTTGAAACAGTAACATGGTGAAGACATGGGATTGCAGGTACCTCTTTTATACTCGCCTCTACACCTTTCCCCACGTGTAGAGAAGAATCCAAATGCACAAATAAATGCCAATCCGTTCTATGTAGTGCACAGGAACAGATGGTTAGAATTTCCACACCTATGGTTTGATATTAAATACTTGGATTTGAGTTATATACTATATGAGCTTTGGATGTAAAAACGCTATTTCCTTCAACAGTCAACTGTTGTACACAGTTACTTTATGTAGTAATTCAGGAATTGCTGGGAATACCCTGGCTGTGTGGCACCTGTAGTACTGTAAGTCTTCCAGTCTTGCCAAACAACAACAAGCACCGGAGTGAGGGAATAAGTTTGTGTGCTGGGATTACAAAGTAGATATCATATTACTGTTAGCTGAGTTAATATTTCCCAGAAATAATAAATTAAACATTTCTGAATATTAACAGTATTGGAATAGTATAGAAGTGTATGACCAAAAAAAAAAAATGCATTAACTATGTACGTGAGGGTATTTATGCATACCAGGAGAGTGGGGTGTGAGTGCACAGGCTTCTGTTACACTTAATGACACACCATTCTCAGGGTAGAAATTCTAATAGGTGAGATGCTTATTTTGAAGGCTTCTGCTACATGCCAAAAGGTCGTTGTCATATGTTTTAATGGAGGATAACGATTTTGATCAAAGTAGCTGCTGATATAAAAGGGTTTTAACTGTCTGAGCAGTTTGAGGGTGAGAATCAAAGGGCACTTCTGGCCATTCCACTTCAATGCTGTATAACAGCACTACTACGCCACAGTGTACACACTACTCTGACACGTTCTGGATTTTAGAATTGTAGAACGGAGTCATCAGATCGTAAAGTTTGGAAAAGACCTCCAAGATCATCAAGTCCAACCATCAGCCCAACACTACCATGACCACTAAACCATGTTGCAAAGTTCCCCACCCACTTGTTTCTTTAACACCTCCAGGGATGGTGACTCCACCACCTCCTTGGGCAGCCTGTTTCAATGCCTCACCACTCTTTCATTGAGCAAATTCTTCCTAATATCCAACCTAAATCTCCCCCTGGTGCAACTTAAGCTCATGTTCTCTTGCCCTATCACCAGTTACTTGGGAGAAGACACCAATCCCCACTTCACTACAACCTCCTTTCAGGTAGTTGTAGAGCATACTAAGGTCCCCCCTCAGCCTCTTCTTTTCCAGACAAAACAACCCCAGTTCCCTCAGCCACTCCTCATAAGACATGTTTCCCAGAGCCCTCACCACCTTCATCGCCCTTCTCTGGACCCACTCCAGCACCTCAATGTCCTTCTTATACTGTGGTGCCAAAAACTGAACCCAGTACTCAAGTTGTTGCCTCACCAGTGCCGAGTCCAGGGGCACAATCAC